ACATCGTGTTGATGTCCGTCTTCCAGCTCTTCTTCCCATTCCTCCTGCTGCTCCGTTCTGATTTAGCTTCAGTTAATTGGCATTGGCAGTTTATTCCATTTTTGGAAAAGCCTTGCATTTGCTTTGCTCACAGAAAGCTTTGCCACTTGATTTGTTCGCCAAGATTTGAATTAGCCAATGACAAGTTGGACAAAACCCAGCTGGTGAAAGATAATCACTGATGACACCTGGATACACAGAAACAGGGGAGCTGATGGACCTTTTTCACAGCAGGCAGTCTGGTTTGTCACAGCAGGTAAAAGGTAGCTGCTCTACATTTAGGTGAGCTGTGTCCAGGGTCACGTGATTTCACGGCTGTGCTGGTAAAGGTTCATTAGTCTTAGGTATCCAAATTCATTTCAAATAAACAGTATAAACGATGCATATATTTACCATACGGTCACCCATTGGTTTGTGAGTATTTTCATTTCATAAAAATAATCCTTAAAAAATTGTTTACGGTGTGCCAAAAATTGATTTTTCTTTTATTTGCCAAATATGATTACCAGTATTTAGACTGTTGGAAATGGCATGTTTGCCTATAATGTCTTCAAAATCTCTGTTATGAATGATATCAAGTCAGCTTATGTGGGAAACAGCATTCCTGTCAGAGGGATAGAAGCTGAAATCAGTTTTTGCCAGTTTATTTTTATAAATGCTTTATTTATCCAGGTAAAAAGTCTCATTGACATTAAAAAATGTGTTTTTAAAGAGATATCTAGTCAAGAGTACAGCAGAAATTACAAAAAGAAATACGACATAACAGTTCTATAACGATGTTTTAAGGACTGGATTAATTATATAATGTGGAACACAGAGTGGATGCAATAAGAAGATCTTCATAAGTCCTGTTGACTACAGCCTATTTGTGGACATAAGCAAAGATATTACACATTAAAAACACACAGAAGCGATCGGCTTTTGGCAGACGATCACTTGTTGGCTTCACTTTTCACACCCAGAAGCCAGATCCATCTTTTATACAGACCATGGTTGATCCTCAGGCTTGTAGAGCGATTTATCCATGTAGACCAGTGGTGTCAAGCATGCAGGCCGAGAGGGCCAAAATCGGGCTGTCAAAGAGTCCCAGTGGAGCCACTGAATGGCTCAAAAATGTCTTTAACGACTGTATTTTCTTAATAATCCCTCCTACACAATAAAAATGTCTATAAGTTGTTTCTATGTGTAGACAAATTGACTGATAGTGATGGAAAATACTTGTTTCTTTGGGTTCCTTTCTGCTGTAATCTGCAAGTCCACATGTAGAGTAGGACAGTCGACTCGATGAATGTGGGAAAAACTGGTGATGTTGTGTTATTTTACTAAAGACATCTCAGGCTGTTCATGATCTTATTCTCCCAACATTAACTGAATGAGAAAAAAACATTTATCAAGAAATAATAACTATAATCTGTTTTCTGGTCATTTTTTGAGTGTGCGGTAAATCTGGTAAACATTTTTTTATAAGTGATGCTTATTTTTTGGATTGTTTTTCTGCCCTGGCCTTTTTTTAGATCAAATTGAGCCATGAGCTAAAGTAAGTTTGACACCCTGTGTCTGGATTGTTTTAGGTGTGAGCGGCTCGTTTTTGAAGGCATAGACCATGGACACGTCCATCTTCTCTTAGATATGATAAAAGCATATGTCACTCACCTTGCTCTGCTCAAAATACAAAAGAAACACTCACAGAAATGTCTCCCAGTTACTCAAAAAAAGGTACAAACTTATTTGCAAGTAGTTTCATGTAGGAAATATTGTGTTTGTACCAAACTACGCCCGCCAACCAAAGGAAGTGTGCAGCTACTGTTTACATCCTGTCACAATGTCACGAGCTTCTTTTCTCTGATAGATGGAAAGTTTTTTAGTGGAGAAAACGACTAAAAAGTCACGTAGACTGGAGGCAATTGTGCATTACCAGAGGAGCTCTAATTCTCTGCTGCAGAGCTGTAGAGATGTCTGCCTTCTCCTGAGTATAACTGAAATAAATTGCACTCGTCTCACGGTGCTCGGAGCGCAATTCCACGTAGGAACTGTTTTCTTTCTACCAGCCGAGAGAAGGACATTGCAGCTCAGCCGAGGGGGAAACCATTAATGTTCACATCCTGTCATCCTGTCAAAAACCTGTCATCTTTGGGTAGACACACACTTCGACACATTCTACCAAACTACACCCGCTGTGATATGTTTGGCGGGTGTAGTTTGGTAGAAAGAAAATAGCTTGAACGTGAAACTTCTAATGACGACACTGACGCTGAGTTTTTTAGTTTTTTGCTCGTTTTGTGGTGCCCTCAGTGCTTTTTAGTTCCTTTATTTTCAAGAGAAGTCAGACATTTCCAAAAAATGACTATACACTTTTCACCTGAGATGGACAAGATGCTGAAATATGTTGTGTTTAAGGTCAGTGATGCAGGGAAGGACCAACTTTCTGTGAAGTTTTACTCGCCTCTCTGTTTCCACTGACATGAGAGCGATTAGAAAATCACACGCATTCCTTTCAGGGTTGATCTGCCCCTTTAATAAATTTACTGTTTGAACTTTTAAATGCCACATCAGGTGTGTGCGTGTGGGTGCTTAAATGCCACATCAGGTAATGAGGTCATCAGTCTGCTGTGAGGCTGCCGTCCTCAACTGCATGTGGGCTTGCTGGTGGTTTGAGAAAAGGCCTCGTTTTCAGCCGGTTTGTCTCCGTCTGCAGATTGATGCCGAGAGGTCGCCGGACCAAGTGTTCGCCCAGATCTGCCGCTCGATGGAGTCTGGCTTCTGATACCTACACCTTCACACCCCAAACTCTGCAGTCGAGGAGGGTCCATCTAAGAAGACCTTCTCTCTTTCTCTCTGCCGTCACCCCAAGGAGACTCACTCGCATAACCTCACACCTGCGCCAGACTCATTGAACTCCAGTGGTATGCATGTCTTACCTGCAATCAGTGAAACCTCTCTCTCTCTGCTTTTTGACACTGACAAAGCGCCTGGTTGTCACATTCTGCTTCACAAAAATGCATCCCCCCAACCCCATCCCCTCTTCTGTCTCTCTCTGTAAAATCAACCTCAATATATGCTGCCAACTGCCACACCAAGGCAGATAACTGTACTGAGAAAAATAGCAGTCCCTGCTGTGACTGAGAGCATGCTGGAAGTGAAATCTCGCCACCTTCCCACCAGAGGAGCTGAGCAAGGTTCCCCCTGCCATACTACAAAGTGGAAATGTCAGTGTGTACTCGTGCTCTCACGCACAGCACCTTGCTTCTTATTGTAACAAGCATGCAAGAGTTAAAAGTTAAGCTTAACTGCCTTTTGTGCATTAAATTTAAAAAGAAAAAAAAAAACAGAAGCAAATAAAGAGTATTAAGATTACTGCATTTGTATGTTTCCAAGCTCATCGTACAGGTGCGTGGTTTGGTATTTAACATTCAATAAAGCCAGTGCATTTGCTAAATGGAGCATTTCTGAGTGTCCTTTGGTGTGGTGTGTAGCGTGCAGCATCAGAGCTGAGCTGACAGCGCCATCTGCTGGTGAGAGGATCACAACAAAAAGGCAATTAAGTGAGAAGTGTAACAGGTCAAGACAGGTGAAATTCCCCTTTCTGTCAGGATAAAGAAGTTTAACTACACATTTAATCTCTGAGATATCTACACATAAGAAAAAGGAGTGCAATTTTAACAGAACTTTTAGTTTTTCAACATGATAAAGAAATGCAGCTGTAAATGAAAGAAAGTTTAATTTAAATTGTAAGAAATGCATGTTAAATTTCAGGAAACGTTTCTGTTCATTCACAGAAAATATCCTGTTACTTTTTACTGAGCATCTGTTAATTACTTTGGTGTAGTACGGATGGCCATGGTGGAGGTCTTTATCAGTAGGAGAAGATGCAAAACTTATTAAAATAAAAGTCCAAAATATATGCACCCTGCCTTATTTTCCAAAGATTTTTACGCCCCTCGGGCCTTATGTTTTACACCCCTGGTTTAAGAGTTTAGCGTTTCAGTTAAAATACACAGAAAGATCATTTGGACATGTAAGAAGTATGACGAGAGGGGAGGAAAAAAAGAAGCACTTTCACATCTTCCTGACAAACTTGGGTCAGGAAGAACAAAATATCAGCACTGTTGGTTCCAGCAGGTGGAAAGAGGCAGAAAATTAGCTGTCACACAAAGTGCTTCTTTCCCAGTGAAAGGTCACCAGCATGGCTTTATTCTGCAAAAGGACATTTCCTGTGTTTCATACCACAGTGAAATTGCAGAAGAAAGTCTATAGAACACTTGCACGAGAAAAAGCTTCACCAAGAAGCACTTAAGATTTAATTGACAGCAATAAAAAATATTTTACAGTTAACATTTTCATTCAGGTTCTGGGAGAGACTCAATTACTCAGCATCAATGACAGGACTGCCTCATTATGGCCAATATTAAAATTGCATCCAACCCCACTTAATGTGACAGTTATAATCTAGAATTTTAATACACATCATTTTGAGCTTTTATTGCACTTTTTTCCTTCTTGGGTGATTATCTATCCATCCATATTTTTACTCATAACTTCTTTTCCTCATTTGTTAGAACTGTACTCACCACTTTATAAGCCAGCTAAAATTCAAGCCCTCCTAAGGGTCCCTTTGATTTATCAAAACGCTCAGGATTCAGGCTAGTTCATCTACTCTTGGTTCTGTGTGATCCCAAGCACAGAAGCCACACCCACCTGGTGTTCAAAACAGCAGTTTCAGAAGAAAGCTGGGTTTAAGGGTGTGTGAGGACTGAACCGTGAATCAACTAAAGCTATTCTAGCAGAGTCAAAATCAATTACTTAGTTCCTAAAAATGATGTGAAGAATTTGCTACCAGTTTGCCAGGGTTCAGGGTTTGATATAAAACTGAGAAAAACAGATTAATCCTGCTGAGCCAAACTCAGGGTGACTTTGATGGCTGATAACAGAGGAAGCACGGATATAGAAAAACTTATTTTCACATACTTTTATTTCCACAGTTCTCCTAGCATTTTTTAACATTATTATTTTATTTTTTTTACATAAGAACAGACTGTTATACACAGATATTGAAGCAGGGCAAAGGGGGTGAGGGAAAGAGACAAAAACCATACAAAATGGTGTCTACTCAAGCACAACAAAATCTATGTGTATAAAATTGTGTGGGTTGCTCCACTGTGGTGCACCAACCACTACCTCAATTATTTATCTTTTTTTAAATAGATTAATAAAAATACAATCTTTTAAATGGACCTTTAAGGTGGACTGCAAAATTAAAGATCTAGAGCCATGATGACTGGATCAATAAAGTAGGACAGTGTGGGTCAACGGAGCCACGCAGGAAGGGAGAAGTTGTGGCCAGGTTAAAGGTCCCTCCCCCACGCCAAAACAACAGCCTCTTTTTTTTTTTCTCTTAAAAATGGCACACAGCATCTAGCGCTGGCTACTTTTCACCATACACTTGTACACTCAACATGATCAACAACGGCACACACTGGGGGCGGAAAAAGAAGAAAACAAAAACGCAGTCTTGTGTATTTTCCGTTCACACGCCTGCCTTCGGAAATGTTTGCTCTCCGTGCTGTAGTGCTTCTTGTTAGACATGTTTTAGTGGAGAGAGCAAAGGAAAGGGAAACAGATGAAAGTTTGTTATCTGTGTGTGTTTGAGAGGTGAAGGGGGTGTAGAGAGCAGCGTTTGTGTGACAGTGGTCGTGATGGCTCCATGCTGAAACGTGGGAGCTCGATCCGTTTTAACACATACAGATTTGTCTGCAGAACAAAATGTGGACCTGCAGCCTGGGAAAAAAAGAAGAAAACAAATGAAAACAAAAACAAAACAAAAAACACTGGCTTCAACCACAGTGTCTGCTGAACTTCACCTGCAGCACCCCAGACGTCTGCTGAGGACACCGCGGCTCATAAATACTCAATCTACGGATACCTAGCTAGAACATTTTCACTCTTGCATAACACAGAGACCACATACACGCATAAAACCACCTATGTGTATCTCAGTTGATGACTTCACAGTCCACTATGACGTGCTGGTTGGCCACCCATCACCATTAGGTGGCGCTTCACCAGACTGATCATCAATTCTCCAGTTTTGAAGCAGCACAGGGAGGTAACTGGAGGGCGATGGGGGGGAGAAACGGGGATACAGGACAGCCCTGCTGGAGTCACGGAGCTCGGGAATGTCGTGTGCCTTCTATTTTCTTTTTTTTGTTTGTTTTTAAAAATAGTGTATCGTTTTCAAATCACGGATCCGTTGAATAACCTGGCTGAGGTTGAGCAGGGCTTCCCCCTCCCCCCCCCCTTTTCTTTTTTTTTTCCTTTTTGAAATATTTATTGAGGAACCGTCATGGCCACCCTTTGCTCAAGTCAGGGAGGTCAGTCACCAACAGCCCCCCCACCAGCAGCACTGGTCTGCTCTGAGGACCCCGGCTGTCTGCCTGCCTAATGGCCTTCCTGCCTGGCGGCGGGTTAAGCGGTTATCTTGGACTTGAAGGATGGAGCCATGCACAGAGTGGCCTGTGGGATATGTGGAGAGAGCCTGAAGCTAGGGGTGCCTGGGACCCTGTCATCTGTTGGCAGGGAAGTAATTGGGGTCCAGGTAGTTGTAACCTGTGCTCTGCGGCAGGCAGTAGTCCCGGTCCAGGAAGGTTTCTGCCTGGTACACTGGCTCCAGGTGGTGGTTAGGCTTGTGGGTCTCAGTCTTGAACAAGCTGGAAGATAAGGAAATGATACTGTAAGAACCACATATAAGCAATTTTCCAGCAAGTACATTTACTTTGACATATTGGGTCTCACACTGGAAAATTTTCACTGAGGGCTGTTTCCCCATAGATTTATATAGAACTGGAAGCCTTTTTATAACTACACTGCCACTGTGGCAGTAGCTATTTCAAGAAATGCACGTTTAAGGCACTTCAGTACTGTCTTTCTTTTTTAGACCCACGAACTACAGCCATCTTGCGTTCCATCTACCATCTATGGTAACTACACGCCATCAGACAGGTAAATCACGTGTTGTACTGTGAGATTAACTTGTAGTGTACAAAAAGAAAAACATGCAAAGTCAATGATGACTGCAGGAACCTAAAAATGTTCTGTGGAAAACCTTAAAAAATGAAACAAAAATGGGGTTCAGTTTAAACTAGCTTTTAGTGGGGGGATGAATGTTATTTAGTGAATGGCATACCACAAACAAATGCAAAACATCCTGTGTTTTCATTTCCACCATGTTAAATGTGTTAAAATGTCAGCAATATTTTCATCATGGTGCAAAGCGACCAGCACTGTGTATGACTGTTTGGTAATAAAGGAAGTGGAGCTGACCAGTCGGAGCAGTTGGAGCAGAAGTCAACAGAGTTGTCAGGCGGACAGTCCTGACAGTGCCACCGCACACCCAGGATGGGCTCCATACCACAGACGTCACACTGCACAAAACAAACACAAACATATTCATCGTCCACAGAACACACTCCCACAAAAGTATGAACATATTAACACCTTCTCTACACTACAAACTTGCTTCTGAAGGCCTTGGAGTAATTAAAAGAATTATTATTCAACAATGCCATTAAAATGTGCACATTTCTTAAGTTCATTTTAAAGCTTTAGGCAGAACTACTTCCAATATTTCACAGCCTCCAGTAGTTCTATTGGGACCTGTTAAAATATAGTTGTTACAGTTTATTTATCGTCTTATGATAACACATTAAAAAAATAAATATTTCCTCTGCCGCCAACTTGAATTTATTTCCCCCTCAGGGTGCAACTTAAATGCATAACATTTTGAGGGAACATGTATATGCAGATTCCTGATCTTAATGTCATCACGGCGCAGTCTTTACCTTATAGCCTATGTGCCGGATCTCAGTCTTATCCTCCTGGATCTCCTGGAGCTTCTGTTTTTTCAGACGTTTCAGCTGTAAAAGCTCTTTGTATTCTGGCAAACTTCTCAGCTCCACAGGTACACTCTCTTCATCCTGTTCAGACAAACAGGATGTTGTTTGACAGTCATCAGGAAAACCACGTACATAATATTTCCTCAACAACTCCAAGGATCTAATCTAGATGCTTTTTACCCTGCAGACTTATTTACAGCCCGCAGCGATCAGTCTAATTTTAGCTGGACACAAGCAACGTATCGATAAGAGAGTACATACTGTCTTTCAGCCTAAAGAACAAGAGTGAAAAACATGGTGTCCTTTACAAAGACACAGCTACCTCCAGCTATTTGTATGAAGAAAAGAATAAAGCAAACAAAATGCAGCATTTTATTTTACAACAAAAGCATCACACTTCTATGTTTTGACAAGGAACAGCTTTGTGAGTCCAGTTAGGCTGCCGACGCACTTTCCCTCAGCAGACTTTCAATCTTCCTGCAAACACGACCAAAATAAAAGACAACCTGGTGAAGTGAGAAATTACTGTGACCCACGCAGGCAACACCTTTTTGACTTTACTCCATACCGGCGGTGTCAGAGGTTTCGTTAACGCGCTGATGGAGACGGTAGCCTGTGTACTCAGCAGGCTGCAGCGACCTGGTTTCACTAAAAGGTTACTGCCATCAAAGGCAAGAGAAAGAAATGTCAGCTCCTGGATAATGGCGAGCACCAGGAGTCGCGCAGTTCAAACAGAACGAAAGGAAAGTCTGGTCAGGTCCCCTGCTCTGATTTAGGCATTTTTAAACAGAACAAGCAGCTGTGATTAGAGTAAAAATCAAGAGCTAAATGCTTCCCTTCACCCAAATGTGCTAAAGTGGAGCTAAAAAGAACAGTCTCTAAAAAAAGCATACGCACGAGAGCAGAAGAGGAACACAGGTGCAGTAATTTTATTTAAAACCGCTTTAAATGAACTATTCAGGTATAGAAACAAATTCCCAAAAGCCCGTAACACATGCTTTTAGCAGTCTTTATCCTACAGGTCACTGCTTACATGAGAAGGAAGAGGGTAAGACTGTACACAGACAGAAAAGAGGAGGAGGAATAAAATGGGAAGAATCAGTGAAAACATGATAAGTCACAAGAAAGAAAGAAAGAAAGAAAGAAAGAAAGAAAGAAAGAAAGACAGACAATAAACCTTTGAAAGAAGAAAACACACTGAAAGACAAAAGACTGACCGAATCATCAGCCGAAGGGTCCTGCACACTGTTGTAATATGCTGAGCGTTCATCATCTTCATCCATGTAGACTGGAGGCTCGTAGGAGGTCAGGAAGGTGGACGGCCGGTACAGGTGTTTGTTAAGGTGATGCTGCCGCTTGCTGGATGCCTGGAGAATAAATAGGGTTCGTTAGAAGAGCGTAAACAAGGCAAATATAACAAGCAGTTAACAAATTAAGTATGTTTGTTGTCTCTAAACTACAGGGTTGTGCAATATGAATGAAATTAGCATTATACTATTATAAAACGCATCCCTGGTGGTTATAGTCTTGGTGTGGTAGTTCATTCAAAACCAGATATAATCAAATGTAATCATAATGTCCAATTTAAATGGAAAACAACAGCTGTAACACAAGACAAAGAAAAGCTTTACTAAATGGCAAAAAAAAAAATGAAGACACAATCTTAGTTGATACTGTCAGCACATCTACAGTGATAACAGCATACGGTGGCTGAAAAGTACAGAGGGACTGCAGCACAGAAGAGATGTTTGAGGCAAACATGAAATGGATGACATTGCATTATTTGTCCACTTGAGAGCAATAAAAAGCTTCGTTTTCAACATCACGTTTTATCACCCTGTTCATATCTTTGCCAGCAGGCACAGAGTTTAATCCAGTCTCCAGCGAGCGCCACACAAACTCCCATTCTTATCATTAAAATACCATTTAACTGAAAGCTGATATGACAACAATGAATTAGTTACCCAGCATAAACTTTAATATTCAAAGGCAAAACCATTACTTTCAATGAGATTACTTATTCAGTATGGCTATGAGAGGGGGGGTGTAGTAATTGAGTTACCTTTTTAGTGTACATGCACAGGTTGGGTGTTCTTCCAGGCACAGGGATACCAGCTTTTGTCAGTTTGATGAAGTACTTTTGAACCCTACTGGCAACCTGGAAGGTTTTAAAAGGGAGATGGTTCTGTTAATCATTTCCAACTGAGGAGCAGCTGCTTGAAGCATAGGAGCTCTCTCTCTCTCTCACTCACACACACACTCACACACACACACACACACACACACAATATCCAGGTACTTGTAGGGGGTGCAGTTAACATACAAGTCAGCCTGCCTTTTACCACTGACAAGGGTACACTTTTTCGATTTAACAGTTTGTTTTTTGCAATTTCAAAGTCACAACAGGACAATAAAAATAAAAGGAAAGATGCTTTTTTGAGCTTCTATGAGATCAAATCTTTTGGTGCATACATCTACAAATATTCTAAACTAAGCTGCTATAAAATGTAACTTAATTGAAGTTGATCCTCATTTTCTTCGTCACCTGTTTTGCTGTTCGATTGCCCAACTCATCAGCAATCTTCTGCCATCTTCTGGATTCGACTTCCTCAGGTGGGAATTTAACAAGAAGCTGCTCCAGTTTTCTCTATCAAAACACACAAAACATCAGGTTAAAATTATTGCTTCATTCTTTAATGTTTTTAATAAATCTAACAGGTGTTGACAAAAATCATGTTTTGTTTATTTGGTGGGGCGTTTTTCATTAGAGGGGATAAATGAAAAATACATAGAACTGATCACCTAATCATGGTAAATCTAAATTAAATCTATTCAATTCAATTTTATTTACATAGTGCCAAATCACAACAGCAGACACCTGAGGGTGCTTTATATTTTATGATGAAGTCCTACAATAATACAGAGAAAGCCCCAACAATCAAATAATCCCCTTTGAGCAAGCACTTGGCGACATAAAGTGCATAAATTAAGACGTATTAATAGCGCTGTACCAGTTTTAAACAGGTCTTAAGTATTTATTTTCTGAATTATGTTTGATTTCTATTTTACTTGCAAACATCCAGTTTTATGACGATCAACCTATAACAATCTAAACCACTCTTATGACAAATTGTTGCAGCGTGCTACAGAACATATGAGCTCTTACACTCTTGCTACCTACCTGTTCTTCCACAGTCCACAGCTGGTTAAATGTGTCGGGTTTATTTGGATGACAAATCCTCCCCCTGATCATCTGTCAAAGCACAAAAGTGGCAGCCATGTTAGAAGACTGACACAAGACAAAAAATAATGGGCACACCACCATTTGAAGAGCTCTTTACATATGAACTGCCTGGCACGCTGAGTCAGTCAGTTTGACAGAGAAAGCCTGGCTGTCAGATGTGACTTGAGATGTGTCATTGGGAGGATGCAGAAAAACACCAACTCTTTTGAGTGACAAACAAAATCCTGTTAGGATTCAGAGAGTGTAGTCTGAGAAAATGCTAATGTGTCTGCACAAAATAAACAGGGAGAGCAACAGAAATAATCAAGGAGTTGTTTTCTTAGTGCTAAGTGCTTTGCCACGTCTAATCCCAGCAATCAATTAAAAGTGAAACCTTGCTGCCGATACCATGTGGGAAAACACAAACACGCACACACAAAACAGAGGCTAAGAATAAGACTTAATCAGAGGAGTGGGGGAGAGGTGTGCTCCTCATGTTTCCATAGATACCATCCTTTGTGCTCACATGCGCTGCATGTTTAACTCTGCCAAGAAATAAGAATATGAGGTTGGAGGAGGTGTAAAATAACGTGACGATTTGTAGGGTGACCTGCAGGAGATCAGTGACTCACCAGCTCCGGCTCTTAGAAACTGATGTCACAGAACCTGCACTAATGATATACTGGGAGATAACTGCAGCTGTGATGGCAGCACCTTGTGAGTGTTGTGCAGAATCTTTTAGTAAGGACACTGAGGTGTACCTGCGTTTGCCTGCCGTTCTCGGGCGCGTCACTTGTGGGTAGAGGGGAGTACATTGTGGAGGATTCACCTTCCTTCTTGGGCTCAACGGGACTTTTTGGTCGAAGAGGCAAACCTGGATAGGGAGAACAGATGTTTCCTTTGACAACAAGAAAGGAAAAAAAATGCACATACACTTGATAATCAATCTATTAACAGCTCAAGTCATTCACACGTGCCTTTGTCAAAGATCAACTTTAGCCGCCTGGTTTTCCGTTTCTTGTCGCAGAATTCTCTTTCAAAATCCCCGAGGCCTGAGGTGTACTGCTCCCAGGCAATGTCAGGAAGCTGGACAACATGCTGAGGACACGGCAAGCCTAGATTCACCTGAGGATCGCACAAATCAAGGGCCAAAGTGAAGTTGAATCTTTAGCCTAGTTTTACTAAAGCACATCACAACAGGAGAGGAAAAGACATCCACTATAGTCCCCCCCCAAAAAAAAAACTCTACTGGGAATGCTTTATACACTTGAATCTGCTACTTTTCTGCTGTGCACTTCCAGGCTTTGTGCACAGCACTTAGCTGCACCAAAGGCATTGTTACCCGTTTTTGCAGCTGTTCCACAAAGCTGATGGGATCGGCAAGCGCCTCTCTCTGATGACGCGCCAATGTTTCAAGGTCCAGGATGGCCTGCGTGCGCTGAGCCTCGAGAACTCCAATAGTCTGCAGCAGTCTCTGATAACTGACACAGTGGGGAGCAAGGTTAGACAAGAGTAGAAGGAAGACACTGCTTACATTATTTAACCTGACACTTGCAATGCTGCAGTGCATCAAACTTTTAGACCACACACCATGCATAATTCAACAATGTTGCTGAGAACCTAAACAGTTGCACAAAACATGACCCATTTTCAAAAAGTTCCAACCTATTCTGCAAAGAAAATATAAACGGTATTACTGACTCCATCTATGTGATTATCACCACAGTGGCTGGAGACTATGCATCTTCTTAAACCAGATGCTATAGTAAAAGCCTAACAAGTGTAGAGTTACTGATCTAATGAAGCCCATTAGGGACTCTAACTGCACATCTCTCAGATTTCAGACCAGATATCAAAACCTGTGCATGACAAACATTTGGGTTTTGAAGCACTTCAGGAGCCTTGAGTGACCTTTCCTCTCACACTCTCTGGGGCAATGGGAGAACTGCAAACTGAGCTGTCAATGACTAATTGTGCTAGTGACTCAGAGTCCTTACAGTGCGAGCAGAGCCCCAGGAATTGACAGGAACGTGACAGCATCCTACACAGCTATAAAGTAATGCAGGTGCTCAGTGGAGCAGAGTGGATCAATCTCTACTAACACAACATGAATGAAAATCAATGCACAGGACACAATTTCTACGACAGAAGTCAGCTTTGTTTAAAGTTGTGTTGGGCTTCTTGGCTTGTACAGCATCCACTTGATCTATGCATCGATGAAAATTCAGTCTGTCTATGCATTAGTGGCATCAAAACTACTTTCTGTGATACTAAGCGACTGTGATTCAATGTATTAAAAAAAAAGGAAAAAAAAAATCTGCAAAAGAAAGCAGTGAGAAGATCCATTTTGAGGGAGACTTGGCTCTTCTTCTCACCACTCTGGACACTTGGAGAGTGTCCAGAGACAAGTCTGGTGTTCCATTGCCACCTACTGGGCCCGAGGTCCACTGACAAACATCACTGCCAAAGAAAAGCTGGCCTGTACAATATTAGTGCAATGTTAATGTCTGATAATTGAGAACAGGGATCTACTTAATATGTTTAGGACAGAGACATTCGTCAAAATCCACAAAACTGGTGCAAATATAAGATGTATGAATCAAATTTGTGACAATTCTCCACGTTCAGCAACTCCAAAGTGCCTCGTCATGCCTTCCTAAAAATGACTCCTGGCTGCATTGATCGGAGGCTTTGAAATTCTCCTTACTCAGCACAACCAAACCTTGGCATGGCACCGAAACTTGATCAAATTATCAGGCAACACAAGAGCAATGAAATCTTATTCTAAGCCACTATCCGAATATGAAACATTTACGGATATTAAGTGTTCAAAGACAAAAGAACCCCAGCAGATTATGTCTCAAAGTCCTCCTCTACCCCTCCTCCTGTGAAGATGTACAGCAAATCAGACGACCTGCCACAGCGCAGTTAGCAGAGCCTGACTGAGCGCGGCATGGGACATGTCCACCAACATAAACATCTCATCTTTCAGGACAAATAACAAAAAAAAAGAAAAAAAGAAAACCACAAACAAAGATCAACACTGAGAAATCCTTTCTCTAAGAAACAGCTCAACGTACCGAGAGAAGAGATGACAAGAAGCAATCAGCATATTTTTACAATCTCCTCGGGCTTTGGAAGAGTGACAAGTGGCAGTTAATTCACACAATAACAGTCCCAGATTGAAGGTGGAAATTAACTGCTGAAACATGGGAAACCTAAACAATAAGGCGGGAGCTATAGTTAGACGTTCCCGCAATTACTGGTGGACATATTTAAGCATTCTGTCTGCGAGTTGGCGGTGTAAAAACCCACGAGCTTCAACAGTAATTCAGCTTGTAAGCTTGAAAGCAGACTTGTAATCTGCTTTCCAAAAAGACTGTTCAATGTTTTCTTTTCATTATATTTACAATGTATTGTTTGTTTGTTTTAAACTCTCCATTCTAACGTGTGATGCAACCAGGATCTTCACACAGACTTCTGTGGGTGTATTCATCTTTATTGCACTATAGTACAATTTCTGAGCTGTTTGTCACTGACTATGTTTGGCCCTTTTGCACTCAGAGGCTCCTCTTTGGTGTTTCCATACATTACTGCAGTACAAGATCTACTTTTGAAGGCTTATCTATACAATGTTTATATGTATTTTGTACATATCTTGTGTAAGCGTGATAAAAACCTCAAGCCAGAAATAGGTGAGATACACTGCCCTGCTATATTCTTATATATTTCATACAGACTTGAACAAGCTCCCCTATAGTTGAACAGGGCCAACATTGTGAATACTGCTGAGAATCGGGAGTAGGGCTGGGCCATATCATACAGTTCACGATAATACCGGTATAATGTTGGGCAACAATAAGGAAATGAAATATCGCAATAGAATACGGGTAAAACGTGCATGCGCAGTGCCTTTGTTTTCAGACACACATGGCGGAAAAACCATGGCGGCGACGCAGAATGAGAAGGGCGAAAGCGATCGTTAAATGAAACGGATGAACCAGAACTGGTTTGTAAAAATGCTGCAACTTCAGTGGTGTGGAACTGGTTCAGCTTTCGTCCGTCAGATACACAACAAAGCACTATTTTTGGTAGAGCATGCTAGCGGGCCGTCATATTACCGTGTTTTTTGGAAAATACGGCACACTTAAAATCAATCCTTTGATTTTTCTGAAAATCGACAGTGCCCCTTATAATCCCGTGTGCTTTATGTATGAATTCTGTTTGTGTTTACTGACCTTGAAACGATTTTATGTACACGGCGCTCGAAAATCTGTCAAATGTTTCAGTACGACTTTGCTAAGCTACGAACCTGCACCGCTTGATGGATTGTCGGAGCACTACGGCTGTCGTAGGGAGGAGCCTCGCGGAGTGATACGTACTGTGCTTCAACATAATATTACCGTATTGTGTGTGTGTATAGCCTCTTTTTAAGTTTTGTGGATATTATACATGGTTATGCTGAGGACGTGTCGGCCAGTTTCCACTGGAAATGCCTTTTGGTTAAACTGTCAGCCAGGAATTTGCATTTGCACTGTTACGTTTTTATATAACTTTAATGCACATAAAAAACAGCTGCTTGTTTAAGTGAAAATACACTGATGGGGTTTTTTGCACTAATAAAGTTGTGGAGTTGTAAAGTATTTTGTCTAGTGTCAATTATATCGCCAGTTATATCGTTATCGCAAATTTTCAAATGTATATTGTGATAAATATTTTTGGTCATATCGCCCTGCTCTAATCTGGACCATTTTTATTCGTTTAGCCTTTTTACCTAACTGTTCTTTATTTATTTTTTTGTTTGTTTGTTTGTTTTTTGATGACTACAAAGCATATTTGTAATTTAAGATATATAGTAACCACCCTGCTCTTTTTCTGACTGTTAATTCACATATATATAGGGTATAGGGTTCAGTTACATGTTCTGACTGGATCCGTTTCCTATGTGATAACACAAGTACAAGTTACCCTAGCCAGGCAATGGTTAATTATTCATCCTTGAAGGAGAAACGAAGGGTTATTGAAATCATTAACAGAAAAGGAAGAAAAATATTGCTCTACTTGTCAAATCTTTGCCTTTAAAAAAACAAAAAACAAAAACTAAATAGTGAAATTTTTACCTATTCAGACCTCAAATGTATCAAGCCAGGGGGTTAGAGGTTTTCAATAAGGAAAGGTCAAAGGGTCACTTCACTTTAAAGCGTCAAAATCCAAAAACAGTTTTCATATTATTTGTATATAAACTTAAAAATGCTGAAGCATTAAAAACATTAGAATAATCTTGGAAAAGAAAAACCCTCAGTACTTCAAATGCATCGCTGGTTGATCAAAAATATATTGATAAACATTTGCAAGAGCTACATCAACAACAGATTAAGAGAGCACAATCCACAGGGGAGCTCCCACATACTCTTTGTTGTGTTTAAGAGCCAAGTGGTCCGACTCGAAGTAATACACGTCTGGCTCCTCTTCTTCCTCCTCCTCCTCCTCCTCCTCCTCCTCCGCAGCCTGGCTTTGTGTCAACTCCTTGCTGTGTTCGGCCTCTTTCCCCTCTATAAATCCACGATCCTCACCACCTGCCCTGTCCCCAGGATCCCCAGACACCGGCTCCTCATTGGAGTGGCCAATAGAGTCTGAGGGAGCTGGCTCTTCCACCATAGGGCAGTCCTCCTCCTCCAGCCCAACCACCACCTCCCCCTCTTCCCTCAAGGGACCATTGTCTCTGGGAGGAGAGCTGGGCTTGGAGGAGCAAGCTTTTCCACTGGACACAGCCCTTCTGGGTGAAGTCCGCCGAGTGTATCTGTGTTCGTAGAGCTCTGTGAAAGAGGTGGATGTGCTGGAAATAGAAGGGTTGCACTCTGGCTCTGTGGGGGAAGGGGGTGTTGTTAGTGGGGATGTGGTTTCTCCTGAGTTGCTGTTGTTGTTGTGGATTGGACTACTGTTCATATTAGTGGTGGAGAAGGAGGTGGAGGCAACAGATTCCTGCACTGGTGTCAGCAGCCGTCCATTCGTGTCGCTCTCGCTATCCATCACCTGCTCTTCATGAGCCAGACAGAACGAGTCACCTACTACGTCAACCTCCATCTCCTCCACTTCCTGCTCCTTGGCCACTATCAACTCAGGGACAGAATCATCCAGAACACCCTCAGATATTGGTGCAGATGAGGATGGCAATTCTCCTGAGCCAGAAACCTCCATATGCCCAGGGACAGAGTTTCTACAAGGCACAGCGGGATCAGGGGATGAGGGAGTCCCTGTCTGACTGCCGTTGAGCAGGGACGAGAAATTAGTATCAGGGGTAGGATTTGAACTAGACTTTTCACCAAGCGTGTTTGATTCCTCTGTGTTATTTTCTCGGAGTCCATTAGAAGCTTTGTGGGCATTTGGGAACTGAGAGGCCCCATCACACTCTACATGACCATCCTCTGCATCGTCCCCTGTGAGCCCACCTTCCTGTTTACTGAGGATAGGTGAGGCAGGAACTGTGTTAGCAAAGTTCTGGCTGGGTAATTCCTCACAACTGTTGTCCTTGCTAAGCTCTGGGACTGAGTCAGGACTTTCGGGTTTCACAAGCTCAGGGTCCTTCTCCTGTCCCTGAGACTCTCCAGAGCGAGAGCATCGCTTGGCCCTTTTAATTTGAGGAGAGGCATCCCGCTCCCCGTTCCCTCCATCACAGTTCTCTGACTTTTCAGGGCTAATGTCTTTTTCTAAACATGACTGGCCTCGCTTCCTGGAACTGGTCCATTGATCGGCCTCTACCAGAGAAGCATCAGAGTGAGTTACATTTCCCTGCAACAAGGCCTGTTGTTGGCCATCCTGCGAATAAGTGTCCGGTGTCTCATCATGCTTTGTCTCCTGTTTAGCATCCTGCTTTGACTCCTGCTTAACGTCTTGGTTTGACTCCTGTTTTGTCTCGTTTTTTGATTCCGGCTTGACGTCCTGTTTGGTGACCTGCTTCGACTCTGGCTTGACGTCCTGTTTGGCGACCTGCTTTGACTCCGGCTTGGTATCCTGTCTGGGAACCTGCTTCGACTCCGGCTTGACATCCTGTGTGACGTCCTGCTTCGACTCCGGCTTGGTGTCCTGTTTATTGTCCTGCTTCGACTCCAGCTTGACGTCCTGTGTGAAGTCCTGCTTCGACTCCAGCTTGACGTCCTGTGTGACGTCCTGCTTCGACTCCGGCTTTGTGTCCTGTTTGTTGTCCTGCTTCGACTCTGGCTTGGTGTCCTGTTTGTTGTCCTGCTTCGACTCCTGCTTGGTGTCATGCTTCGATTCCAGCTTGGTGTCCTGCTTGTTGTCCTGCTTCGACTCCTGTTTGGCGTCATGCTTCGATTCCTGCTTGGTGTCCTGCTTGTTGTCCTGCTTCTTCTTGGGCGAACGGGCCCTTGGCAGTGGAGACACTGAGGTCTCCTCTGGCTGGGCGATGCTGCGGTTCCTGAGGGTTCGACCACAAAAGTTCTCATCCAATCCATTGAGCCCCACTGATGACCTTGTGACGCGCGAGGAACGGGATGCGGCCATACTATGGCGAGTGCCTACAGTCTCCTCATCTTGGTGCTCTCTCCTCTGCAGCCAAATGCGGGCACCTGCAAGATACACATGGAGAAACTTGCACTTAAATGTCAATCTAACAACTGAAAGCTATAAACATATGCAGCTCACTGTTGCATTAACATCACAGTTTTCAGTTTGACTGGTTTCACTGGACTTGCATGCTAAAAATGAATGCATGAACAGTACCCTGTGGTGTTTCAAACAGAAGCATGTACCAGAAGGCCTTTGTTAAATACCACTCGGGTCATTGCTCACACCAGAGGGGTATTGATTTATTCTGTCATTGTAGCTAAGCAACACCTTCTGTCCACAGGCAAATCTAGATGTCTTATACCAGGTCAGTACACAGGGAATAAATTCAAAAGGGGGGGAGATCTTACACTCGCACAAGGAAACAATCATGTCAGATGTTCCTTTGTGCCTAAATGATCAATCAGTCTGTACACACGCCTCAAATGGCACAGCTTTGAGGCTCATTTGTATGTGACTACAGCTCAGCAAGCATTTTAAGATATGAAAAGACCACAAGCACAGAAACAAGGCGTTTAAAAAAAAAAAATCCATCACACAGATTGTGTATGTCTGTTACAGCAAGGGAATATGTATTTCCTCCTTGCAGGCATTTCTATTTTTTGTCACAAGTAAAATAAATGTAGTTTAAAGGTTGACTGATTTCTGACACTATAATTCTCACATCCAATTCAACAGAGATAACACTGCAGACACTGTTTTGTCATCATACACTGCAGGCCATTTATCTCTTCATAACAGGTGTGCCAACAGGCTGCTATCCTTCCAAAACTTATCACAACATACAAAATTTTAAATCCTCTGGGAACAAAAATTCTACATATAAACCATCATCTGCATATAAATGGAAAGCCATTTTGTGCCTTTTAAAAATAGAGTAAAGGGGGGATGAGATATAGGGAGAAAAGCAGAGGTCAAAGTATTAATCCCTGTGGTACCCCACATGAAACTAAAGCTGAGGATGATCTGAAATCCAAAGGACTTGCACAAAACGTTCTCTCAACCAGGTAAGACCTAAACCACTGAAAAGCAGTACCACGAATACATAGTTCATAGTACCGTCAGTAGCTAGTTATTACACATGTAATATTACACATCAGGCAAAGTGTCTTCCTAAAGTCTACCCATATTTTTTCTCCATATACAAGAAAAAGTCTCAAATGATCTTAATATTTCTCTTCACCTCTCTCTGATGTGATCCATTTGTGTGGGTGATGGCTGACCTGCACTATATTGAAAATACAATAGCAACTCATCTGCAACTAAATGGTAAATGAGCTGGTTCTTATACAGTGCTTTTCTACTCTACTTGAGCACTCAAAGCGCTTATACACCCAATTACGCACATTTGTACAAGCACTTTTTCTACGTAAAAGTGGGTTTTTTTTAATCTAACATTCAGCCCCTGATTATCTGGTGACTGCAATGAAAAAAAATCTGTTTGCTGTCGGATTGCAAGTAGCTGCGGCAACCAACTGGTCACCCAGAGACTGAACCTCAACCTCTAGGCAATCCCTTATGGCTGCAAGTCGATTACAAAGGTAACCTATCTCCAAACAAATTGTCATCTGACTCTCACTGACTGGAATCACTCTCAAATAGACTAAAGTGCAGACACGGAAAACTGGAGACCCGACAGCCAAGTATTCATTCCTGTAATCCTTCTTCCAAGTTCACCACCTGGTGCACATGGATAGTTTGTGCATTATAATGTAAATTACCAAATTTCACATGGACCCTAGCAGACTGTCATACAGTTCATGAATACAGACAGATTCCCAACACATTGCAATCAGCCTGAGTCAGTCTGCACTGATGGGCAAAACTTAACTGTTTGTAGTCTGATAGTATCCCTATATAAAAGCAAGACTGCCAATCACCGATATCATTTTGTAGTTAAATTGCCATCACACAGCAACTATGTCACAATTTGTAGAGGTATTTATTAACGTGTTTTAAATCTATGAGATTCTGAATGATTTTTAATGTGAATTTCTCTGTATATAGATGGCAACGGATTTGCCATTTTCACCAATTTATCACAGTGAACTGTTGTATTGTCTCAAACAGATTTCATGTAAATGCTAACTTGACCCAATTGATTCGCAAATTTATAGCAGACTTGTTGCTCTTTTATCATCATTTTGATTGAGTAAAGTTGCTTCGAAGACTGCAATCAACTGTGAGTGGTTGCAGACGTCATCATCATCTTTGAAGCAATTCCACGGCAGCAAGATCAGGAGTTCATTGCACACAGCTGCAATAATTTTAGTCATGCTGCAGTCTCCAACCACTGTTTTTTCACAGGTGATTGCAACATGAGGGAAAAGGAGAAACTAGTGCCACTATTAGGGAGTTAGGAAAATAATGGTTGAGTCGAGCCTGATGTTATATTAAACATAAAGAATGATTCCCAGCCTCTTCCTCAGGCAGGCCATCGTTTTAATTTAACACTGATATCAGCAGAGACCCAAAGCATCGCTATTAAATCAGTAATACAAAAAACTGGATCACTGCATCTCTAATAAATTCACACATATAGACAGCTAGTTCTTGTTTCTCTCAGCATTTTTTTTTTATGAAGCATATTGCATAAAGATCATGGAAACAAATTAATACAATTTCTCTCTCATATATCTAACAAAAGTCATGGAAGCATTGAAAAAAAACAACAACGAAGGAGCTTTCAAATTGTAATTACAAAAACAGTTTACACTAGATTATGTTGTCTTACAAAGTTATTAAAACAAAATAAGTCAATTAACTCCACAATCAACAACTTCAAAAAAAACCCAAACCAAATACATAAATACCTTACTCTAAGTACAAAGTATTAATAATCAAGTTATAATTGCCCACAGAAAAATGCAGCTAATGAAAGGGAGATTGTAAAGTTCCTGCTCCAGTTAGGAGACTTGCTGCTGACACATCCTCTGCATCATGGTCCAACTAATAAATCTAACCACAAGGACAATAAAAACAACATGTTAGAGGTCGTATTAAAGTGACATTCAGCAAGGTATGATCTCACTGGATGTCCTTTTATAGATGATGGGAAACAGTAGTAGCCATATATCTTGGGGACAAATCACATCAATTAGCGCCATGGACGAGGTGCTCATTTACATTAATTCCCAGTACATCAAACTGTGGGCCGACCTCCGTCAAAACTGATTTAAAAGCTCCTTGTCTCTCATACTCGGACAGTCCCTCCCTTTTCCCGCACTGTGCTAACACAGCACCATCAAAGCCACAGAGGCTACTCCGGCTACAAATACATTTTGATAATACTCCTTCAGGGAGCTAACAATAGTCACCTGAAATGAACACTACCACATGCACATATTACTCACACTCTGCTAAAGAGCCCAGCTGAGAAAACTAATGTGATTTGTCCATGCATAAAATAAAAGAGAAAGAAAAGCAGAAAACGGGGAGCAGGAGGAGCAGGTTTTTTTCCAGACAGAGCGCTCACCCTTTGACTCAACACGACAAAACTAATTAAGCCGGCTCATCTGACCTGCTCCCAAAAACTAGGAAAGCTAATCACTACATCAAAAATAATTAGTGCTACAGCTGGGCTGAATAACTTTATAAAACATTTGATCACACTTCCACATTCCTAATAATTAACACGTTCCTGGCTTAACTCACAGGGCCTATCTTAATAGTTAATATTAAGTTCAATGTTGCATTCGGGTACCAGATTTCACAATTATTAAATTAAAGTCGTCATTACATTGTAAATCTGACTAGCCTGCCCAACATCCGGTTCAAACTACAGTCAGACATGCCTAGCAGAAGTGCAATGACTGGAATGTTATAAAATCAAGTGACTTGCGTATTTTCCCATCCCAGCTGTTACCGAGTGGGTACAGACAAAGGCGTTCTAGAGTAACAAACATTAAACATCCTCAATGACATGACTCTCCTTGGCTGTGGAGCCTGTAGTTAGCAGGCATTAAACTACTCGCCACAACAGTGATTTCCTAAAGTATAAACACTGTGCAAGTTAAAGTGTGTTTATTTTATTTAAAAGGGACATTAACATGAGCAAATGAGACACATTTAGACGGCTTGTTTCATTTTCATCTGCAGTACCCAGCAGGCTAACTGCATTTAGAGAGAGCAAACAAAAACAAACAGAAAAGAGCAAGAATTATTTGAATGTTAAAAGATGTTACCATATAACATATTAAACGAACGTTAAAGATCATTTACAAAACAGCACAGACAGAAAACAACACAAACATGACTACTGAACCAGAGGCGGTGTCACCGTTACAATGACACCACTTCCTATTATGACAGCATTTTTGATTATCCAGGAAACAGTGATTTATAAAAAGTATGTTAGTCAGTTCTGTGGGTATAGTATTCCAGGTATGTGCTGCTCCATAAGAGAAAACAGTCTGCCCAGAAACACTTTCTCAAAAAATACAAAAACAGTTTAGATCAGTAATTGCAAAAACTAGCAAATATAAATAGATTTATAGGAGACAGAAATTCACAGATTGTTTATGTTGCAGGGTTCAACATAACCAATGGCTCTATGGCCCGGGGCCAGTAAATATATCTGATTAGTCAGCTGCTGGTCCATTTGAGTGTTTCCATCACAGCAAAATGGATGAAGCAAACATTTGATTGTCCATCTTTTTTTTCTTAATGTCAGTATTTTCCCCTTGTAGTCTAAAACAGTGGCTTTCAAACATTTTATGACCAAGTCACACCAAAAGGCAAGCCTTCATACCATCTGTACTATCTTCCAGTTGTCTTTTAAGTTGTATACTGTCAGATGACAGCATTCTGGATAACACATTTTCAGCATCTGCAACTACAAGACACCTACGATTTAGATCATTCCTTTTTAGTGTGAAAAGAACCATGCATCACAATATAGTTGACACAAAATCCCAAGGCACACCTGGATTTGCCTCAAGGCAAACTAATTGGGAGTAGGGCTGGGCCATATTATACCGTTTACGATAATACCGGTATAATGTTGGGCAACAATAAGGAAATGAAATATCGCGATAGAATACGGGTAAAACATGCATGCGCAGTGCCTTTGTTTTCATACACACATGGCGGAAAAAGCATAGCGGCGATGCAGAATGAGAAGGGCGAAAGCGGATCGTTGAATAAAAACGGATGAACCAGAACTGGTTTGTAAAAATGCTGCAACTTCACTGGTGTGGAACTGGTTCAGCTTTCGTCCGTCAGATACACAACAAAGCACTATTTTTGGTAGAGCATGCTAGCGGGCCGTCGTTATTACCGTGTTTTTTGGAAAATATGGCACACTTAAATTCAATCCTTTGATTTTCTGAAAATCAGCAGTGCCTCTTATAATCCTGTGTGCCTTATGTTTGAATTCTGTTTGTGTTTACTGACCTCCAAACGATTTTATGTACACGGCGCTCGAAAATTTGTAAAATGTTTTAGTACGACTTTGCTAAGCTGTGAAGTCACACCGCTTGATGGATTGTCGGAGCATTACGGCTATCGTAGGCAGGAGCCTCGCGGAGTGATACGTGCTGTACTTCAACATAATATTACCGTATTGTGTGTTTATAACCTTCTTAAGTTTTGTGGATGTTATACACGGTTGTGCTGAGGATATGTCGGCCAGTTTCCACTGGAAATGTCTTTTGGTTAAACTGTCAGCCAGGAATTTGCATTTGCACTGTTACATTTTTATATAACTTTAATGCACATAAAAAAACAGCTGCTTATTTAAGTGAAAATACATTGATGATTTTATTTGCACTAATAAAATTGCGGAGTTGTAAAGTATTTTGTCTCGTGACAATTATATCATCGGTTATATCGTTATCGCAAATGTTCAAATGTATATCGTGATAAATATTTTTGGTCATATTGCCCTGCTGTAATTGGGATTCACTGATATAAAAGTGTAATACTAAAGGAAGCATATGAAGCTATTAAAAGAATGCAGAGCTTGTTAGTGCCACAGGAAAACACTGAAGGCGGCTACGACTGTGAAGCAGTCGTGAAGCTGAACCTTCACACATTTGCAACTGAAAATAGAATTGTGCACAAGCTAAAATACATTTCAAGGTTAAAATTATATAAGGTTCATTCCAACAAGTGCTTCTTTTTTCGGTAAAAAGGTTGATGAAAACAGTCATTATAACACAGGTGTAAATTATGGTGGAGCTGCAGCTTCTACACACACCCCAAGAAGCAAATGGGCAGTGTTTGCTTCCGTGGTGGAGCCTATACCTCCTAACATTTGTTTTAGAGGTTTTGTTAGCACCGACCCAAAACAGAAATCTATAAATTCTGCAATATTTTATAAATTAAGCTACTCAGCCATATATAAAAATATTAAAGCTTAAAATGTCTGTCGTTCCCCAGGGTACATCACTGTGTTAACTTTTGCTGCAGACCAAACCTGCTTGGAAGCAGTTTTTGATGGAGATTACAAATGAGCGTGTGTAAAATTGCCACATACTGACAAATAAATCCTACAGAAAATAGGATCACCACTCCTGGAAGAAACCTGAGACCGCAGGGTAAAGATAGTCTGAGGGTCTTAAGTTTTTCAAGAGCCCTGATAAGAATCAATAAGAAATATAAGTTACCAGAATCAACTTTAGTCATGCTTTTTTCCCCATTGCGACAACTGTTAAATGATTCTATTGTTCTATAAGTCTTAATTATATAATCCTTATATAGAACACCAACTTGTACTTATTAACCTTAAAATAAAATCTGAGAAGGATGAGCCTACTTTGAATTTATGTTATTTATTTTGTACTTGCTCTTAAACAATTAAACACCACAGAGGATGCAGCTGTAAAAATAAGGCTATAACTTTCCTGCTTTCCTTAACTTTCCTTTCCTGCATGTCTAACATAAGAATTTAATGGAATATGCAGTAATCTGTCAGAATCTCATGTGTTAATGACATAGCCACAATGCTGATGTGTCTATTAACTTACACGGTTACCATTTTTCCAATTTTCCTTCCATGCTTCAATTAGGCTAGACTTTATTAATACAAAAATCAGTGGCTGTGCTGACAGCAGACCTGTCCGTGTTTGCGGCTGGTCAGACGCTGCTGCCGCCGCCGTACCTTTCTAGGGAAAGGAAACTCTTTTATAGGATGCTTCGAGCTTTTATACCCACCTTTTTATACCCACTTGAAAAAAAGATTTTTTTTTTGGTGATAAACCACTCTGTGACTAAACTGCTCATAAGTCATGCCAGCATTACAGCCATTATATCAGATTAAGAGCCACAAGAAGACACTGTTTTGGTTAATTTGCATTTTCTCTCTCTAGTATATGAGAGAGTAGACTCAGCCAAGGATACATGGTTGGGATTCATGTTTGCTTCCTATATAAACATTTGACTGTGATGTATTCTTCTCCATGAAATAAGATGTATTAATCTCTTGATCTTTCTAGAAACACACCAGCCATTAAACCCACAGCTGCCAATTTACCACAGTAAGGTGTGACAGTGTTATTTACAGTACTAACACCATATTGCAATGTACAGTCACCGATCTTGACACGCCGAGATCAATTTGTACTCACAGATATCCAGAGCATAAGCAAAGATTTTGAGTGTGAAAGACATTGTATGTAATTAGAGGACCCATGTGTTACTGTACTCTCAAATCAACCCACTTCCTGCCCCTCTCTAAAACGCTTGTTTGGTTGTAGAGTTATGTTAACACGTGGTGTTTTTGCCTGCACTGTCTTGACAGATGTTTCATTTGCCATCACATAAAGAAGCACTGCTAAGATAGCAAGCCTGTAAACTCCCAAAGCTGTGCACTAATAATAAACACGCAACTCACGAGCAAACTCAACTGTTAGCAAACCAGCTAATCTAAACGTGGGTAACAGAGTTTGGTATGATGCATGTGTTTTCCGATAAATAAACGAGCTCTGTGCCATTTTACCGTCCTGCTGGGCTCATCGTCTCCGCTGCCGACCTGAAGTTCAGCACTTCCACTGGGCCTACTGGCAACCAAACATCCGCGAAGTGGTGCTGGTGCACATTCCGATGAGAATCGCTCAAATCCCTACATCTCAGCTAAATCAACTGCCGCGAGCTCCAAGCCCACGAAGTTGGGAGGCACGAGGATGCTGTTTAAACTGACGACGAGACTGGACGGGGGCGCAGCAACAGCAGCAGCACGTGCCAGCCGGCTGAGTTGAAGACTAGTTTTTGCAGCAAAAAAAAGTTCACGATTAAAACTCACGACCACACGTCTGGACAGAAACAACCCAGTTATTTCACAGGGAGATTGCGAATTAGCTAAACGTTAGCATGCTCCAACTTCCAAGCAGACCTCAGTTGACCTAGCATGCCGTTTAGCGGGCTAACCATACAAAACTAACTTACCGTTAGCTCTCGGGGGTTAATTAAAAAAAAAAATATATATATATTAACACTTGAGACACCAAGCCGCAGGCTGTGGCACCAGCAAAATTAAATTATAAATTATTATACACGCTCCCTGTGACACTCAACGGACAAGTGTGCTGCAGTCTAACGGACCATTTTCCCCTCTTTCTGTTGTGCTCGACTAGTTAGCCAAGTTGGCTAACGTTACCTGTGCTAGTTCTCCCGTTAAGAGAAGAATCGTAGCGATTCCTGATGAAGCCCCTCTATTACTGACACCTAGCACATGCTAGCTAGCGCGACATCGGACAGGGGCGTTAAAGCCACAAATAAGACAGCACGTAGATGGAAGAAATCGCCGCTAACACGTTTTCGCCGAGGTTTATATGTCCAGCACTGAGAAGTAGCATGATTAGCAACCAAGCACTTGGTAACCAGCTAGCAGCCGAGGCTAGCCGCAGCAACCTGGCATTAGCTCGGCGAGCTAGCTGATTGTTCCGCGCATAACTTTGCCGATGTATTTGTGTACTGCCAGCAATGGCGGCCACACACATTTTGAGTGGGCTAATAAATTCAGGTTCTGTCGTTTGCTCCACCACAAGCAACGAACTGGAGGCACACTTCTAAACAGCTTTTGTAGCTTAAGAATTACACATACCTCACTTCCGTAAATTTGCTGCACGCTCGGCCGCAGCCATGTTTTCAATCCAGTCAACTAGTCGGGGTGTGTGAGCAGCAAGCGCTCTCTCGTCAAAATGCAACACTATCCTGTACATTTTTAGAGTGCCTCTCACTCTGCAACATTTCCTAATTTATGGCTTATTGACACTTTAAGGAGAAACAACATGCAGTTTAAGAGTGACACAATTAAAGAGTGGGCACAGCATTCAACATGTTTTCATCAAGTTTTAATAGTGTCAGCCAGCAAAAATCAGAATAGATCTTACTCATATGCAAAAACTTAGAGTACAGCATTTTGTTGACTCCCTAATCAGCCAACACATTTAAGCAACACTATGCCCATACACAAAAATAATGCCTTTAATTAATCAGATTGCTCATTATGTTGCTGATTACATTACTACAATGTGCTTTCTGCAGCTGTACAGTTTTAGTGAAGACAGATCTGGATTTGCGTGCACATATCATGAGCAGCTTTGCATTTACATGCACTTACATGTGATGTTCCACTAGGATTTTAATGTTCGGAGCATGCATTCTTAAAAAGTCTGCCTGCCACGTTTCCACAAAAAGAAAAAAGAAAAAAAGAAGATAATAATAATCTATTGACATCATGTTAAATCACTCCCTTCTGTTATAAATAACCAAGTGCTGAGTTTTGACCAACATACTATTAGTACTGGTACATTCAAATACAAACCAGACATCTGTGTGAGCATGCCAATTTGTACTTCTACAGAACAGTGCAAAACACAAAATTCATTCCTGAGACTAGTCAGCAATTAGTCCCTTCATAGCCCAAGTGTCACATTTTGCTTTCCTTGTCATTTAGTGAATAATACAACAGGAAATAAAAAATATGTGGTATATCTACAGCAAGATGTATTGTGATTCATCAGTATCGGCAACACAAGACACATGGACATAGAACATGTGCTCATTTGGTCAAAGAAGAAAAAAAACAAAACAATATGGCATTCAGTGGAATTTCTTTTAGCTGCACATATTTTAAATGCTTGGTTCTGAAAACCTGAAACATGAGTACTACAGTGCTAATAGAAATTTATGAGCTTTTTATACAGATTTGTACAACATGACGACCCTTTTCAGTTAATTCCCTCTGTCAAAGGCTGTCACGCAGGAGTAAAGATGAGGTCCTTTGCTTGGATGCTTTTGAAACAAAAAAGTCAAGTGCAAAATAAAAGGCTTTCCGTTTCTTAAACGTTTTCGATGTTGTTGTGGTGCATTGTCAAGTTCTCAATTAAACGGAGCGAGTCTCCACCTCGATCTTCTCCTCTGATTGCGACGACTCTACTTCCTGGTGGCTGATGTTCGGTCGAACCGTCAGCAGCGGACCACCGCCGTAGATGGAGTGGAGGAAGTTCCACGTTTCCTCAGAGATCTGTCCTGAATCTGCTCCTGTAGGGTCGGTGCAATCACAAATGTATACATCGTAAATGTCAGCAACAGGAAAAACAGCTCTACAGTCCACAGCATCTCTGCAAGACTTGTTTGATGCTTTTTAAAAACCCATATTAAAATATTCAGACATACATTTCCTACTAAAACAGAAGAAACAGAATTACAACTTAAAAACGTTGCTTGTACCTTGTTTGAGTGTTAAATGGCCGTTCTTGTTTACTGTTATCTTTGAATTGTCGATAGGTCCCGGTGGGTCTGGAAAAAGACGAAGAAAAGAAAATTAGTTGTGAAATTACATACATCAGTAACAGAGTTATATTCTCATATCCTAACTGTATCAAAGAGCAATGATGTTAAAATGTCAAATGCTTTTGTCACACTACAAAAAAAGCAATATCTGCTCCCCATTCGCTACAGAGAGAAGACAAATATTAGAGGAGCAGAAGTCAAGACAAAGAAAAAAAAACAGACATTTGCAGGCGTGCCAGATGCAAGCTGTTATAAATAGATGTGACAATACAAAGTAGGGGAAGCAAAGAGAAAAAAAAATATGAGGACAAGTGGAACACCAATGAAATGCATTTTGACGCCTCATTTTGCTGGAGCAGGATAGAAACCCGACTCGGGGGACTAAAGCGAATTCTTTGAAGAAAAAAAAAATCAAAAGAAGGAACGGGGACTCCACAGTTTCTTTTGAAAATGAGCTGTTTGTAAAAACCTGAGAATTTGGATTTTCTATAGGAAAAAAAGAAAAGAAAAAAAATCTATTTGCCTTTTTCCCCCCCATATGTCGATGAAAACGTATAGACTGGCAGTTTGTTCTAGAAACTCTGTCTCTCCATAGTAAATCACATGGAAAACATTTAACCTTTTTAATCAGACATTTAAACAGGACTAGGGGGTGGAGTGGGGTGGGGGAATGGAAAGGCAAGACCTCTGTCCAATTACCATTGTCTTTTCCTTTGACAAAGCCCTCCCACTCACGAAACCACTGCATGCTGATGCAGTATATGACCACTGGAGACTCCTCCTCCTGGAACGCCTTGTTCAGCTACAGAGGGAGCAGAAGGAGCCAGAGAAAGGGAGAGAGGAAGTGGGGGTGGAGTGAGAGGTAGAGACAAGAGGGAGGACGCAAAGGGGTGGGGAGGGGAAAGAGGAGGGGTAAGTGGGATGGGATAGGGGACAAAAAAAAAGGAAAAAAGTAAGGATGAAAGGATTGAGAGGAAATGGAAAACCAAATCAATTCTCTCTGCTAGTTACTCCAATTAGAAGACAGTCTTAAAACCACACTGCACCAGTTTCATCTTTCTTGGAAAAAGAAAAAAAAAAAAAGACACATTTCTTGTTCTTCCTTTTTAGCTCTGTCTTACACTCACACACACTCACACTCACACACACACACCTATTCTGAGCAGCTATTGTGTGAGTGGGCACGCCGAGCAGGCAATAACAGCTGCATCTGTCCCAATGCATTAATGATAAGGCTTTCATCTGGCTTGCACCTCTCATCTCCTGCTGGGGTGAACAGCATCAACACATGCAGCCTATCAACTGGTTAAATAGACTGAAGAAAAGGGGCCTATACACACCTATGAGTCCTGGCTGCACTGACACACCGTGCATTAAAACACACACATACACAAACCAGTTTTGAAACTATCTAAATAAAGCCGCTGCTTGGACGGCTTTTCAAGGGAGGTGAGGAGTGGGTGGGTGCTTACCCTGACAAACATGTCCAGCTCTTGCTTACGCCTTTTCTCCAGCTTTTCTATCTCAGTCTGGCACGTGTGGCAGACATACAGGTGGTTGACAGCCGGTCCCCCTCCGTACCTGCGGGAAACAGTACATACAAACTCACACGTTACTTCAGCCAAAGGAATCGCTGGATCTGAAGATGCTTAAAGCCTCCAGCCAGTCTGAAAGCGGCCGTGTCGACTTCGTGTACCTGCTGTAAAGGTGATCCCACACGTTCTGCGGCAGCATCACTACCAGGTCATCGATGAATGTCGCTTTGTTGGGCGGCACACCTGATGAAACGCAGTGAAACATGAAATGCAACAGCTCGCATGGTTACAGATCAGTGCTGAGCTTAAACAGGGCAAGAAGCTCAACTATGCACAATTCTGTCAAATTCACTGCTCAAACTGTGCTACCAATATCATTAAATATTCTTCAGTTTCTCCTTTTTTCAGACCCCCAGAGCTTGTTATTAAAACTCCTTCCCAAACTGCATGTCTAAACTCCCCGCAGGGTGCGAGACTATGAAAAAGATTATTTTTTAGATCTCCACAGAAAGTTGTTTATTTTGCTCCAATTTTTGGCTTTTTCTTGAAAAACACTTATGATGTATTTATTACAGCCTGTGAAAACCCACTGTTTAATGTCAATTATAGCTCCAGATGGAACTTTGATTTATTGTATAAATTAGGGACTAAAAGAGTTTTTGAGCTTAAGATACTAAAAGTCAGGATACGGTGGCAACTCATTCCTAAATTTCCAGATTTTTAAATCACCTCTCTCTTTTGATCCAAATATTAAACACCAAATAGGTTGAATAAGCCCGTAAGCTTTATTATTTATTACACTTACAGGTTATAGGGTCTCATTTCCTTCTCTAAGCTAGGTTACACAAATAATTTATACAGCAATGCTGACCTGGGTTAATTAAATGTTTGTTGACTTTTAGCAAGTCTTTTTAAAACAGCAAGATCAAGAAGGAAGTGGGAGTAGGACGAAATAACAACCCTTCCATGTCGCTGCAATAAAGCTCTTTGAATTCATTTGTCAGCTTAAGTTCATCTTGACATGTGAGAAAGATATGAGCAGCAGTTTCCCCTAGACTGAAAATCTACACTGCTGCTCCCCCAACCCTCTTGAATATTTCATTGGGCCTTGTCTTATTGATTTATAATAGGCAAAATTTAATTAAGAACCTCTAATCTTAATAGGCAAGCAACAAGGCTTGCAGTAGGACCCTGCAGATACTGAAGAATGTGGGGGGGTATCTTTAATCTAAGATACTTTGACTAAAATGAACAATTCAAAGAAAAATTAGTGTGTTTTTTTATGTCTGCACCAGCACCATTTTACAGCTGTTTATTT